CATCTCACTTTCCTAAAAGAGAAAACTAATGTTTAAAGAAGGTGCTATCCAATGAGATATTTTAAACAGCATGCTTCTTGATTATAATGACCATGCTCTACACATTTTCTAATTGTTAAGGGACAAATTAGCCCTTTGAAACCATGTAGTGCTTTAATATTAAACAGATGATGGAATCTCCCTGAATCCCAACTTTCTCATGTGTAAAATGAGGAGGACAAGCATAAAAATGTCCATAAGAAAGAGAGTTTCAGCTACGGCTGCATGAAAAGTTTGGTGACTCCTCTCTACAAAATAAATATAAAACTGAGCAAATTGCTCCAAATTATTTGGACTTTGGAAATTGACCAAAGGGAGACAACAAATTCTTATTCTTAGGAAAACTGCTGGAGCTTCAGATGAGAATAGTAAAGGATGCTATATTCTTGTGTGAGGCCCCTGCTGTGTACTTTTGGCAAAAAACTAGATTTGGAAAACTTGTAGCTTTGATGCCAAAGAGGCTAAGTTTGTTTGGGGTAATGAGTGAAACTCTATTAGTCAACTACTAACGATGAACTTGGTGAGAAACAAACAGGGAAAATCCACATATTTGCAAGACTCCGATTGTGGTGCCAGTGGGATGAGTGGGGACCTAGCCAGGAATTTAACAGGCAGACCTTGGAAATGAGACAACCATAAAAGGGTAAACTCTCCATTTTTATTTTTGGCCTACTGTGAAACCATGCACATGTGCAGGTGGAACCTGAGAGTGTCTAGCAGAAAGCAAGGGCCAAGGCAGACTTGAAAACGGCTAAGCCTGAGTGTGCTCTTCCCCATCCACACACAGATTGTGGGTTTCCACATATACATTGTGTTACAATTGTCTCCAGTATTCAGTACCTAAGATATAGTGCAGGTTTGTAGCCTCAGAGCAGTAGGCTATACCATATAGCCTAGGTGTATAGGAGCCTATACCATCTAGGTTTGTGTAAGTGCACTCTGTGATATTCACATGATGAAATCACCTAATGATGCATTTCTCAGAATGTATTCTGGTTGGTAAGCAATGCATGACTGTGCTTAGTTACTTTCTTAGCATTTGCCCCTGAGGTTTATAATTACATTATAATTTATGACAGTCTTATTTTCGTTAATACTATACTGTTGTTCTTGAGCCTATTGATGGTAGTGTCCTTGGTCAGAAATGCCTACAGTGCTTGCCCAGGCAACATCACTCCTAGCAAACTCCAGAGACACATCCCCCAGCAGGACGCTTATTTATGGTTGGGCCTGTTCTTTAGGTTCTTTTTATGACTGCAGGACACATTTCAGCAAGGAACCATCAGGGAACCTTGAGGACAAGATTTACGGCTTGCAGATCCTGGATATGACACTCTCAAGGGCACACAGCCAGGTTGCAGGTAGAGAGAGAACATGGACTTGGGGCTCTGCCTTTAGTAGGGTCCAACAGTGGGATGTCTAGGGTTTTGTGGGTTTACTTTTTATTGGCTAATTTAAAGCACAAGTGCAGGAATTAGGGCTCAGGAAGGGAGAAATGAGTTCACTAAGTGGTCAGTTATCTAGGTTACCCAGGGTTTTCTGAAAGAGGGAACTTCATGAGTGGTGGTGATCTAGTTCCTTAACTGGTTGTTTTGTTAGTAGCTGTGCCATATAGCTGGCAATATCTTTATTCAAGATTGAGGCCTTTTGGAATAGATGTCTTGGTGATCAAAGGCTCAGTGTTAGACACACTACAATAAAAAAAACTTGATGTCAGGCACTTGCACTACAAATGCCAATTTAGTTTCAATGGTATATAAAAACTGTGTCCATATTTATGTTGTTATTGCCACAAATTATATCTGTATATGTTTTGTGCCCATAAGATTATCATATATTTATAATTATTATTTTATGTGGTTGTCTTTTTCATCATTTAGAATTGGAGTATAAGCCAAAAATATATTAATATTGAATTTTATATTTACCTATATAAATACCCACCTTTATTGGTGTTCTCTATTTCTTTATGTGGTTTCAGATTACTGTGGAATGCTCTTTCATTTCAGCCTGAAGAACTCCTTTGAACATTTCTTGTAGGTAGCTCTTCCAGTGACAAACTTCCTCAGTGTTTGTTTACCTCAAAATACCTTAATTTCTCCTTCATTTTTGAAGGGTAGTTTTGCCAGATACAGAATTCCAGGTTGATAGTTTTGCTCTCATTGCTTTAAAAACATTATCCCCTTGCCTGCTAGCCTACATGGATTCCGATGACAAATCAGGTGTTAATCTGATCGAGGATTCTTTGTACATGATGAATTGCTTTTCTCTGGCTGCTTTCAGGGTTATCTTTCTGTCTTTGTGTTCTGACAGTTTGATTATAATGTGTCTCAGTGTAGATCTCTTTGAGTTAATCCTATTGGGGATCATTGAGTTTTATGAATATTTCACTTTATCAGATTTGCCAGAGATCAGCAATATTACATTTAAACTGAAATTTCTATCTTACCTTACTAGGTCTGTGATTCCACTGTTAGCTCAATTTTCAAAGACTTTGCTATACTACTTTGGATTTCTTCTATACACGTGTGGCTTTGTGGTGAACTCAGGTTTTTTGTCACTTCATACACTGAATTAGGGGTGCTCTTTCCAGATCTCTTCTTTGATCCTTCCTTCACTCTCTTTAACCTAGAAATCTCCTTTCCTGGTTCTCTGGATAGAAAGATGGAGTTTCCCTTGGAGTTATAGCCTATGCCATGTGCCTGTGTTGCTGTATAGTTTTGCAGGACTTGGGCAGTTTTCATGATGAAGTGGTAAGAAAAACATAATGGAGGTTCCTTGCACATTCTTTGGTCCATGGAGTTTCTTTCCTGGTTCTGCAGGTCAAAAAGATGGGTTTACTTTTGACTTTTAGGTGCCTGCACAGCTGCAGCTCTGTGACTGAGGCTGCATTTGGGATGTGGCCAGTAGGGAGAAAAGGGAAAAGTGAAAGAAAAGAAAACCCCAAATGGGGACTATTCCCACGCTTTCTATTTCACAAAAGCCCTGTGTCCAGAGAGATGGCTTGCTTTCTGTATTTTCATTGGTTGTGCCTGCTGTGTAGTTTTGTACAGGGGCCTTCCTCAGTTTCAGGCTGGTAGATAATAGGAAAAATTTGGTCATGCCTTACATTTTGGCTCACCTCCCTAATATGTATGTTATTATTAACATTTTAGAGTTCCCAGGTAATTGCTTTTAGCATGTTGTACAGAGGTTTTAGTTGTCATGAATGAGAGTGAGAGGCTATAGTGGGCTTAACTATATTTATGCCAGTGAGTCTCGTGCATATTTTTTTACTTTTCACTTCACCCTTAGACGAAGAACAATAGTTTGAAGGAACAGCAATGGGCAGTTGTTTTTCCAAGGCTCAAGTTTTAAACATAGGAGAGAATCTAGCTTAGATTTCTGCAACATTTGAGTGTACAGAGGCAAATCATTTTAGGTTATAATTATAGGACTCATTTGTATACTATTTGGTCTGTTCCAGACACTGTTCCAAAAATTTTGTGTATACTCCTTTAGTCTTCATGATAACTCTGGCAGATAAAGACTATATTATTCCCATGTTATATTCAAGGAAGTTGATGTACAGAGAAGACAGATAATTTGCCCAAGGTTACATAGGTAATAAATAGTAAAGCCATAATTCAAACCTAGGATGCAACAATTTAGTATAGAGCACAAGTTCTTGTTAATACTTTCACCTAATACTCTGGAAGTTTTCGTGCCCTGACCAAAGTAGAAAATAATGAACTCCTCATTTATTATTCAACTTGATTTCAATAGTTTTTTTTTCAATATTCTGCCTTTTTTAGCTTCTCCCAACTTTTTTTGTTTTTGGTAAAGTATCTGGAAACAAATTCTAGATACCATTTCAGCCATAAACACTAAAGTTATATGAAATGGATAATAACTTTTAAAAATAATATAACCACAGTAATATTATAATCACAGTATAATCACAACTTAAAAAGTGAAAAGTTTCCTTGAAATCATTTAATATTTTTTTATGTTCAGTTTTATCAGATTGTCTCAGAAGTATCTTATAGTTGGTTCAGTTCAGGATTTCAGAATGGTCCACACATTGTATTTGTTGATATGTATCTTAAATTTTAAAAATCTGTATTGGTCCTAACCTTGACCATTTTAAAAATAATTCTTTCTTTGTAAAACTCTTTAAAATAAGCTTTTCATTTTCAATAATATTAAATAGAGAAGTTGCAAAGTACAGAGTCTCATATATTCCTCGACTACTTTCAGTTTTCCCTAAATTGATTATCTTACATTACAATGATACATTTGCTGAACTATGAAATCAGAATCAGTACAATGTTTTTGTTAATGACCTTTTTCCAAGTCAGGAATGTGTTAGTTGTCCTTTCTCCTTATTCTTCTCTTGCCTTTGATACTTGCTCAGTCGTTCCTTGTGTTTCATGATCTTGGTTTTCTTAGGAGTCCTGATCACACATTTTGTAGGATGTTTTACAGTTGGTATATATGATACTTCTCTTGGGATTAGATTGGGTTTATAAATTTCTCAAAAAATGCCATAAAGGTAAAATGTCCTTTTTATGACATTTTTATTTAAAAAAATCATATAAAAAGTTCACCTGGTTCTGAGGTCAAAACTCTAAAACTAGAACCTTGAGAGTAGTTTCACTTTCATTCCATTCTCCTTCCTAGTCTTTTCTTCTTTCTGTAAAGAGGAATATTTTTTAAATTAATTTTTGGCCTATTCTTTTAATTTTTTAAAATATTGGCAAACACACACAAAGACACACACAAACACATGCATAATCTCCTGTTCTCCTTTTCTTATGTAAAAGGTAATGTTAGTCCATGTTGCTAACTCCTATATCATACTTTTTCTTTAGGATGACTTGTAACAATGACTGTTCTAATAATGGCTACTTGTATTCAACACATTTTGTGCTTTAAGGTTAATATTTTCTAACAAATATATGGTTTCTTTTTTATTTCAGATATTTTCCAATTTATCCCTGGATGAACGTTGCCTTTCTGCATCGTTGGTTTGCAAGTATTGGCGTGACCTTTGTTTAGATTTCCAGTTTTGGAAGCAGCTGGATCTTAGTAGTCGTCAGCAGGTATATATAATTTAATTCAAAGAAACACTCAGTTTGATCAATTCAAAAAATATCTTCATTCCTTTTCAGAGATCACTTCTTTCATGTTATATTTTCTCAAGATAGTTCAAATGACTATAATCTATAATTCTGTTCTTTAGTATTATTTGTTTGTGAATTAAAGTACAGCTAGTTTCTTGTGGTCAAGAGTATGTTTTTTAGTGTGGAATGGTAATTTTGGGTTGCTTCTTAATCCTCTTTATTTTATTCCTGTTTGTCTTCGCCTTTTTTCATTCCTCTTTAAAAAAACTTTCCCTTTTTGGAGGGTCATATCATGAATATTAATTTAATAATAGAAAATGATGGCAAACGTTTAGATAGTACTTCCAATGTGCCATGTACTGTTGTACATGCTTTATACATATTAATTTTATCTTCCCATTAACCTCATAGGTTGAGATTGCTATTATCCTTATTTTTAAAATATATTTTACTTATTTATTTATTTTTAGAGAGAGGGGAAGGTAGAGAGAAAGAGAGAGAGACATTGATTGAGTGCCTCTCATACCCACCCATCTGTGACTGAACTCACAACCCAGGCATGTGCCCTGATCAGGAATTGAACTGGCAACCCTTTGCTTCACAGAATGATGTCCAACAACTGAGCCATAGGACTCAGGGATTATTATCCCTATTAATATATTATTATTACAACAATAATAATACTGATCTTATACTATTATTATAGAGAAGAAATGGAAACAAAAACAGCTAACTTATTTTGTTTTCATTTTACTTTAGATGAATTTTTTAATCCTCCCGATTTGCCTGGCTGTCCAATATGTTTATATACTGTCATAAATTAGGGGGGAAAAAGATAGAATTAGTTGTTTTATTGCAAACAGTTTGCAATTCTTCCTTTGAACTTGGTTGTCAATACTTGGCATTGGAAATATATAAAAATATCCATTAAGAATAGGATTTTAGTAGAGTACTAAAACTACTCTAAATTCTTTTATGATTTGGTTAGAGTAGTTTGCTGGTAAATGTGTAACAACTGGCTTTCAAAAACAAATGAGCAAATAAAAAGCCCTGATGTGTAATGTTTGCCAGTTTCTGTGGTACAGATACTCCCACTGTAGCTAATTTCAAGCTCCCAATGTGATGTCACTGAATGTAGTGATGTCACTGATTTGGAAAGAGGTACACATTATGGGTATTGCGAGTTGGTATAAGCCAACTCCAACATACCACTATTAGTATATATGCTTGTATGTTTAACATATATACTTCAGACAAAATGAGGAAGGTTTCTTCCATGGGTTAGTGTAGTAATGTAAAATAATCCATTAGCTCTTTACTACAATACTCTTGAATGTCTGAGTTATTTGTTACAAACTCAGACTGAAAACAGGTTTCCCCTCTTCTGGTAGTTAGATTTGGAGATGAAAAATACATAAAAAGAGTTCAAGGAACCCAAGACAAAGAGCAAATATATATTTTATTATAACACAGTTCTTGTTATGCCTCAATATTAAGTAGAAAAGTTTTCTTTCAATTGTAGTTTTCATGTTATAACCTAATTATATTGTTTATTGGGGAAACTTCAATAAAACAATAGAAAATACATTTCTACATTTAGCAAAAGTTTAATTTTGCTTTTCTCTCTCATAGGTTACTGATGAATTATTGGAAAAAATTGCATCAAGAAGTCAAAATATAATTGAAATCAACATTTCTGATTGTCGAAGTATGTCTGATACTGGTGTGTGTGTTCTAGCATTTAAATGTCCTGGACTTCTTAGGTACACAGCCTACAGGTGTAAACAGCTTTCTGACACTTCTATTATTGCGGTTGCCTCTCACTGCCCTTTACTTCAGAAAGTTCATGTGGGCAACCAGGACAAACTAACTGATGAAGGACTCAAACAGGTAAATTTTAACATCTATAAAGTGATTTAACTCATATTAACTAAAAATGTTTCCTTGTAGCAACACTTTAAAAGATTGTTATGTAAAAAATAATGCCCAGCCTAAATGAAGTCATGTTTTTAATGTATCCATGAACATTTGTTTGGGTTAGTGAGCTAGTGTGCCATTGGTAAAATCAATAAATTAACTTGTGTTTTGCAGTGAGTGCCTGAACTTCTGTGACCAAACATTTAATTAATTTATTCTTTTGTTACTTAAATTTTGTACCAGATTTTGCTTTAGATAACAATACTATGCAGTTTGGATCAGGATGAAGTCTGAAAAATCAACTTTTAATTTCCCTTTTATGTTACTAAATAATGTGGTTACATGCTTTAAATACTTGTTTCAAGGCATAAATGAAAGTCAGAGTTAGAGAGTATAAAAAGAAGAAAAAGGTGGTATCATCCATATTTAGCACAATAATTGGATTAAAAATAGGATCTCATGTATTTTATGTTTGATACACTTTCTTTGGAGATGGTATTTAAGGTTTCTTGTCACAGAGTTGATTATTCATTCACTGAATATTGAGTGGATTATATGGGCCAGATCCTGGATTTGTGAATATTTTGAGTATTAGGTAATATTCCTACTATTATACTAGGTACTTTCTGTATTTCTGCATTTAGGTCTTGAAATAACTTTGTGACATAATTGATCTTAAACTTATTTTGTAAAGGAAGAAATCAGGGCTTAGAGAGATTGATGAGTTTGCCTAGTACTTAGCAGATAGTTGAGTTGAGATTGAAGCCTGTATTTTCCAAAGCCACTATTGTCTTTCCACGTTTCCAGGCCAATAGACTGCACTTCTAGACCTCGAATAAAGGAGCCTGCTCCAGAGGGGCAGAGGCCATGCACATTTACCAGTCTGCCTACAGTATCCTCAGCCAACACTTATTGAAAGAAAAAAATTAATAAATAATTCCATTCAAGAACTTTGTCAGGATTAATGTTTAAATTTAAAATTGGGATGCAGCCTAAACTCCTCTGGGTTCAATAAAACCAGAGTGTCAGTAAAGTCCTAGATTTAAAATAAATCTGATCTGAGAAGAAGTTAGAAATAAAATGAAGATCCCTACATTTAAAGATTATATATGAATTAACTGAAAATTTTGAGACTAATTTGGTAAATCTTCCATAGAATGTGAAATATTTTGGAATTAATTTTTGATAGATTAGATGTTTGCTTCAGATTTGCATGGTGTCTGAATTATGAATTAGTTATATATAATAATCTGATAGAAGTTGTAAAACAATCTAAATCTTTTTCATCCTGAAATAATTTTTTAAAGTGACTGCATTACATTAAATAATTACATAGAAACCTTGTTGCAGTGTAGAGAGTAATAATTTTTTATGCGTAAGACTGTGCTATAGCAGAGGTATCCTATTTTAGCATCTTTATTCTGATGAAATGGTGTTGTGGTATAGTTGAGAGAGAATGCCTTTCTATAAGTGTAAAAGTTTTATCAAGCAAAATGGGGCCTTATGTACCATACACATTGATATTTTCTATTCTGTACTACAGCATGGGCAAAAGTAGATTTACAGTTGCATTGTGACATTCTTTTGAGTTAATAAAGCTGTTGTAATAATCATAACCTGCATGATTTTTTCCATACAAACAATTGTAAACCTACTTTTTCCCACCCTTGTGTTAAAATTAAATAAGTGTTGGCCTTGACCAACTTAGTGAATTAATTTCATGATCCAGTGATGTTTGATGAGTTCTTCTGTGGGAGTGTATTATGGTTTTAGTGAGCTACCAACTTAAAAAAATATAATAAAGTTTTAAAAGGCCTAGGATAAACTATTCATAATTCATGAATTTTCTTGGTATTATTATTATCTTTTTACTTCTAAACATAGCAAATGATTGAATTGTTGATTTTAAAGATCAGGTTGCAGGGATTTGTTTTTCTCCTTTCCTGTCACTAAAAACTGACAAATGTTTTGGAATGATACAATTTTTTGATAATTTCTTTTAAGTGTATTTCCAATGTAACCACTATAATTTTGATTGACTTTAGCAACTACTACGTGAATTTGTTTTTTTGAGTTGTGTTTATAAAAGTAGTTATGTAAAGTATTTGTATTTGCAGTTCCAATGGATCTAAAATTTAATACTTTAATAATTGCATTCTACTTAATGATGTTTCTCCAACTTATGGTGAAGCACCTAAAAGTCAGGCTGTTTTGGCCAAACACTATGTTTTTGTTTGTTTTTTTTTTTGTTTTTGTAAAATTCCACCTTGAAATCTTGGTATTTTTATTTTCAAAAAATAATGGCAAATTGTACCAGTGGAATGTATTTCTATTATACTCATCTCAAAAATATAATAATATATTATGGGGAAAAACAGCTAGTTAAGAATAATAGGCTGTTTCAGTTTTTCTAGAATTTTATTACCATCTGGACCTTGCCAGCAAATGAAAGAAAGCAGTAGCCAAAGTATTTAAAGAAATCTAAGAAACTGTATCTTTTATGTTAATATTTTATGTGATTTATATTTTATTTTAGCAGCATGACACTTCAGTACAATTCATGGACCTCTGTAGAAATTTCTGAAAATAGTCACTGTAGGCATCTTCTCAAATTATTAATAAAATGGTACAAAAATAAATGTTGCTTTAGTAAATTTCAGTCTTGCTACATTATGAGCTTTTAGGCCTTTAAAAATAAATATTTAGAATGATATCAACAAAATGGCAGAGTAAGCAGCTCCAAACTTCCATTCCCCCACAGAAACATGGAGAAACAGGCAGAAACTGTTAGAACCAACTTTGAGAAAATGGTCAGAGTTTGACAGAAACCAAGCAAATGCTGAACCAAGAAAATGCCAAGTAAAATGTGATGGGAAGGCTTTGTGGCATTTTTTTCTTGTCAGTGCTCTCTACTTTCCCCAGCTTGGCAACAGGTTTGAACAGCAGCTCACATTCCCCATGTGGAACCAAGGTCCCTGGTTCCAGAGGCAGAAAAGCGGACTTTATTTACAAATTACTGTATTTGTGTATTCTAACCTGCCTGGAAGCTTCCTGAAGAACTGGTACAAGGCACTCAGATCTAGGGACTGGATTAAAATTAAAAATTTCTGTGCTTCAAGGGACATTCTTAATGGAGTGAACAGAAAACCCACAAAATAGGAGAAAATAGTTGAAAATCATATATATGATAAGGATTTAATACCAGAAGGTGAAGAACTCTGTAACTCAACAAAAACAAATAAACCAAAAAACCCACCAAAAACTCAATCAAAAAATGGGCAAAGTGCTTGAATAGACATCCAAAGAATATGTATAAATGGCTAACAAGCACAGGAAAAGATGCGCAACATTATTAGTTATCAGAGAATTGCAAATCAAACACCATAATGAGATAACATTTCATACCTACTCTGATGGATATGAAAAAAGTGAAAACAAAAGCAAAAACCAGAAAATAAAGTATTTCTTTGGATGTGAAGAAACTGGAACCCTTGTAAATTGCTGGTGAGGATGTAAAGTGGTGCACCTGATTTGGAAAATAGTTTGGTGTTTCCTTAAAAGATTAAACATAGAACTATCATCCGAACCAACAATTCTTCCATACACACACATGCACGCACACGCACACACTCATTCACTAATTGCCATAGCAACATTATTCATAATGGATGAGAGGTGGAAGCAATCCAAATGTCTATTAAGAGGTGAATGAATATATAAAATGTTATATGTGCAATGAAATAGTATTAAGCCATATAATGGAATGAAATGCTGTTACATGATGCCATGTGAATGAACCTTGAAAACATGCAAATTTAAGTAGGCCAGACCCAAAGAACAAATATTGTATGATTCTACTTATATCAAATATGTAGCAGAAGCAAATTCATAGAGACAGAACATAGAGGTTTTCAGGAACTAGCAGAAATGGGGAATGGTTATTTGATACAGAGTTTGTGTTTGGGATGGTGGAAAAGTTTTGGCAGTGGATAGTGAATGGTGATGGTTGCATAACACCAAAAATGAAATTAATGGTTCTGCATTATATACCTAAAGATGATTAAAATGGCAAATTTTACATTATATATATTTTACCACAGTAAAGGAAAATAACATCATATGTTTTTTAGATGCTGAATTTCTGTAAGATAAGGAAACTGTCAGTCTCACCTAATCTGTCTTTACATGTTCCAGTGATATTCAGTTAACTAGGTAAAGGGCAGTTATGTAATCTTTATTGAGCATCTACCATGTGTCAGGCACAGTTTACATATTCTAACCATATATTCCTGTTTAATTTCTCTATTGATTCACAATCACTCTGTGAGTTAGGTATTATTCCCTTTTTATAGATGAGAAAGCAATTACAGAGAAGTTATAAGTAATTTTCCCAAGGTAAAGTTGTGATAGCGCTGACAATCATATCCAGGGATGACTAGAGTTCACTCAGTACCCTTAGCTCATTCCCTTCCCTTTTCAGATAGCATGACACTCATTTTATCCTTGTAATGATAATTGATGTTTACAGTGAGACTGAGAAACTAGAAAAGCCTTCCTTATCAAAATGTGTTTTATTTAGGTAGTTTAAGAATGTCTTAAGTCTTCTCTTTTTAAATTAGCATCACAGCAAAGGGAAATAAATCTTTTGAGTGTTCTTCATATGATAGGTATTGTATTGTGGGCTTTCATGTATATTATCCAATTTACTCTTCACTACAACACTGATGTGGTATTTCAAGGTGAAAAATAGGATCTCTTAGAAGTTAAGTAACTTGCTTAAGTGTGATTCTGCTTGGTCTCCAAAGCCTAGATATTACACCTAGGATTTCAAGCTGGGATGTCCAATGATTAGAGAAAATATTCTCTACATATAATTGTATAGAGCTTTCATTTAATGTCAAGAAGGCTTGCTTTTTTTCTGGAAATTTTTTGCTGTAACACTTTTTAAATGTTTCTTCTTTAAAAAGCATTAA